TTTTTGGCATCGAGGCCATCTGGAGCGCTTGCCCATCTGTCCTGAGGCTCCAGAGGCCGAGCTGGTGGCCCCTCACCGGCACCCCTGGCCCGAACCGCCTGTCTGGCACCGTATTTGGTAGGGAAGTCACACCTGGGTAAGGACTCTTTAAGGGTCACTGTGGTGTACTGACGTGAAGTGAACACACATATTTGCGTCCCAGCACAGTACTGAGAAGCTGCGCAACAACATGGAAAAGTCACACGTACCTTCGGATCTCCTCGCTCATCTGCAAAATGGGGCGACGTTCCCTACCACACAAGGAAGTTGAAGGACTCACCACAATTGACACGGAAGAGACTTTTAAACCAGAGACACGGTAGAAATCCAAGGTGTGACGTCCACTGTCCCTGCAGAGCTCAAGTTCAACACTGGGTGACACGGCCGTGTGCAGAGCTCGGGAATCACACGCCCGCTGGGTGTGAAACTGCGCCCGCCCACGCACCAGCCTCCCCTGCCCCGGGGGATTGTGAACCAGGTCCTCTTGAGACAGGGCTGAGGCAAAGAGCGCAAACTCATTCACTGACTTTCCCGGATGTGCCCAATTTTTAAAACCTCAGCTCTGAAGAAACAGAGATTTGGACGGACCAAACCCCGTCATCCCTGCTATTTCGACAAGTCTGCTCTCTCTGCCATTTTGAACTCTGTCTGCAAATGGCCCCAGTGGGTGTCCATATGTCAATAGCCATGTTCACCGAGGAGTTCAGTAATGTGTAATTAAGCTTCCAAAACCTTATGTAATAGTGCATTTAGACTCTACAACCAAATAGAAATTATAAAAAATATTTGCTCAACCTGAATAGATCTTTTCAACTAAATACCCTGTAACGTTCAACTTCAAGTCAAGACTTTACTCAGCCGACACACAACTGAAGAGTGTGGCCCCGCAGGGAGAGCGGGCACGGACCGTATCCCCCAGACCAACACCCCGGCGGACGCGTGGAAACAAAGGCAGGAGCCGGGGGGGTGAAGGTGAGCCAGTTCTTCCCAGACGCTGAGGGCAGGGGCCCGAGAACGCCTCCCGGGCCCTCGCTCAGCAATGAGTGGCGGGAGCACACAGCACAGAAACTGGGGCTTCCTGCCCCCACTCTCGCCGCTGAACACTAACCAGCCTCTCATGGGCAGGGACCTGGCGATAACCGGTCAATACACTGACGCCCTCCATGAATACCACGAACACACGGAAGTCAGCTCCACAGAATGTGTGGAAAACACTTCACATCTTTCCACCCCAATTTTTATACACAAATTATTTCACATTTTTTGTTCTGTCAAGTAGGGGTACAGCGTCCCTCAAACATCACCTGCTTCACCTGCTTGAGGTTTCCTGGCTCAGTGGCGAAGGTCAAACTCTGCGCAGGTAGTACCACAGTTGACGGCAAATCAATTCATTCCTGAAACTTCGAATAGGCCGTCTCCCGACGGACACGGGATAAATGCCGTGCGACAGTGGAGCTCGGGATCAGAAGCCCCACCGCTGGGTAGCCTGAATACAGGAGGATCTGCGAAGCTCACGACTTTCCCAAATGGCAGGGCAGTAAAGCAACTGCAGCGATGATCAAGACAAGGGAGCCCGACCGGCCAAGAACGAAGTACCTCCCAACCCCCTCACCGCTCAAATTCTCACTGCTCGGGAAACATACCCATAGTCTACGTCTCTTTCAGGGAAGGCTGCCACCATGTGTTACCTAATCTTGGTTATGAACCGTACACTAATGTTAGGAGACACCGTGAGTCACGGACAGCAAGGAACCAACGTTCGGACTTCCACCACCTTCACAGTGCAAACTGTGCAAACTGCCTATAAAAGCTCACAGATGGGCTAACTCGAGTGCAGAAAATAGCCGATCATAATAAAATGATGTTTGTGAAGAAGTCACTGCTCAAAAAAGGTTCTAAACCACATAGGAATGAGCACCATTTGGGACTACTGTAACTGCATGGTGTCCTGGGGTCCCACCAAAGCCAGCTGGAGTTCAGACGCAGGGAGCCAGCTTCCACAAAGGGACACAGACCATGTGAAAAACCAGCCTTCGCTCCTCATGCCAGTCAGAGACAGCTCCCCTAAAATGCCCACAGACCCCTCAGCAGCCATTCTGATAAAGGCTGGTATGGGATTTGCCAACCATCCACCTGCGCAGTCCGTCACGCATCAGCCATCCTTCCCCGAGAGCATCCCCGCAGAAGGGGCTCGTCCCGTGCACACGCTCAACAGCAGGGCTCTCCAGAGAGAGGGCAAACTGAAGGCAGATGAAGGGTCAAACGGTCCCCGGAACAAGAAAAGGAAACAGTGGTTGGAAGCAGAGCCTGACGTAAATGACTTTAAAGTGCAGAAAATCCTCCATGTGCATTTGTGGTCATGCAAGTGTTTCTCCTTCACGACATAAACACGCGCTGCCTCCCCAACTCTCTCTGTCCCTGAGAAGAACATGAAAAATTAGGCAGTTTGCAGAGCTGGTCACGAGAAATCACTCCAGCTCTGCTTATCATCAACCAGAACGATCATGAGTGATCAAAGTATCAAGAGAAAATGACGTTTGTCATGTCTAAGCCAGAGAAGGACCACTTCCACGCACTGTCTGATGTCACTCATCATAGTTCAACACCAGTTCTGCTGAGGACGTTGGCTCCCTAACAGCGAAATCACCTGAAAGTGCGTGTATCTTCTCCCAGGTCCTCCACTATGGCAAATATAAGTTAAGGGAGTATATACAGTGTTTCAAAAATAACTGAAGATCAAAAAGCAAACAACATGATAGCCACATCTCATCCCAAAGCTGTTGTATTCGTGAACTGTGGAAAAACATACATCATGTAAAATTTACCACCTTAACCATTTTTCAGGGTACAGTTCAGTGACATCACACTCAGGTCGTACAACCATCTCCACCGTCCATCTCCAGAACCCCTTTCATCTTCTCAAACTGAAACTCTTGACCCACTCCAACATCGACCATCATCAAAAATGTGAAAATGCTTCTATATAACCACTAAAGTAAAAAAAAAAAGTTCATTCAAGTTCATAAGGAATATTTATGTCATTAAAATGCAAAAGCAATAACCATTACATCTGAGTCTGAAGAAATTTCCAAACATTTCCTAAATAATTAAGCAGCTTCAGACATACTGGGTCACGTTACACAGTAAAAACCAGAATTCACACATCGTTCAATTCCGAATGAACAGACACTTAGAAAGAGTTATCATTTCAGCCGACTCTTCTTTCCTCTCACTTGATATGATTCCTTCCGCAATCCATGCCTAATGTCATAGCCTTGGGTCTTCTACAATTACTTCCATAATAAAAAAATCCTCTAAAGAAAATTGTCTAGCAAATGCCCTCGATATTCAAGTCTTACTCAGGGGGATGCTTTCTTGGTTCCAAAGGTTGATTACTTGGGATTCGTACAGAAAGCAAATAAAACACCTCAATTTGGCAGGATTTCACATATTAACTTGAAACTTCTTATATAACAGAGTGGCTAAAAATACAGAAAGCTCATTTCAACATTTAAAATCCAGTTAGATTCCCAGAGAATGGTATTTAACTTTTAATTTTATCATTAATTTCGATGCTTCTCAGAATCAGAAACTTGCCTGAAAGACATAAACTAATCATTCCTTCTGTTGTAATCATTATTGTTGATGGACACAGTTTATAAAAATCTTTGTTTCCTCGTATGTGACCTGTTCATACATTTTTTGTTACTAAGCAAGACTTCCAGAAGAATATAGAAAGAGGCTCAAAAAATACCCAGCCGTGTTCTCTACAAACTTCCCTGTAAGGAAGTGTGCTCAAAGTCAAAGCCAATGTACATTTGAACGGGTGATAACAGGGGCCACTCTATGGACTGTTTTTGATGAAACAATAGGGTTGGTGATATAATCCGTCCACAATCATAACTAAAAAAAATAAATATCCTATTTTCCCAAAATACTCGGGTGTTTTACATTGGAATACATAATACAAAACAATAACTTACTGACCACTTAAGAATGAGATTTCAGTAACCATACTAGCTAGTTAATATGCTGTTTATATTAAAAGCAGAGTAAATCCCAACACGTTACACTCTTCTGACTCTCACAGTCCATTATGGTTCATTTTATTAAAGTTGAAAACCTAAGGAAATGTCAGCACAGCTCTGCTTCATACCCAACACAAGTATCCTGGGATGCAGACAGACGTGTCTGACAGGACACAGCTGATCCCAGGAAGGAGTAATTCTCAGAACTAGCCCTTGGCAGAAAACACAGAACATTCCATATCTTTTCCCCGGGACCTGCTATTTCTTTGATGAAAATGCCCTAAATCAGAAACCCCACAGCTGAGAGTAACTAAGACGAAGATCCATAGGACAACAAGCTCCACGTGATCTTCATGTTTGTTTGTTTCTGAACTTTAACACAACAAAGTTCCAAAGCTTTCTTTTCAGGATTCACCCCCACCCCCAACATGCTTCCTTAAAAGTAATGCAAACCTCCAGCCACCTACATCTGTGAGAAGTCACATGACATACGATCTCCCACTGCGAGACTCCCATCCTTCTGTGTTTTCACCCCGGCTGTAGGCAATGCCTTGACTGCAAACAGACGGCCAACACATTCCGCGCTAGTCAGTAACGATGTTCTTCCTCAGTGAGTAAGCACAGTCAACAAAATCAACAACTTTGAAACTCATATATTCAACTTCAAAAGACAACCAGTTTCCCTTAAAAATCTAAGACAACTATCACCTAAATCTATTTACTCTGTCAAATAAAAACAGATCTTTGAGCTCGGGTTATATCTCACCGCAAAACTGAACAATCCAGTTTTTTGCTTGTTTTGGTCAATATACAATCTTGCACTAAAACAGCAGCTAAGGAAACAAGATACCTAAATTCTGCAATAATATTTCTTCAAATTTTCCACTGACATAAAACCTATCCTCTCAAACCAGAAGAACAAAATATATTTACCTGTATTCCTGTCTGGTAAGATACAGCAATGCTTCTGCAAAATGCCGGGCAAAACCTGTTTCAAAACATAAATGAAACACATTTGGTTATTGTTCGGGTAGAGAAAGGTATCTCATCAACTGCAGCAAGTGTTGTCCTAATAAGGTCGTTCAGTGTTGCACAGAGTCCTCCCGCCCAGAATGATCTAACAAATTAAACAATACAGAAAAATTTTGATGACATACATTTTTCATCAGAAAGGTTAATCAAGTGGGTGTGCTCACTGTAAATGCTGTTCCAGAATGGTAATGCAGATCTATTTAATGTATGCCCCTAATGGGTCCTGGGAGTATCCTGAAAGCTGCACTCAAGGGACTCCTACAATAAGGCAAATGGGCCCACCAATTTTTGTGATGGCTTTTAAAATATTAGATGCAATTAGAGCCTGAAAGTGGAGGACCACTGGGGCGGTGTATGGAGCCTGCCTTGTAGGATCTAAGCAGAGATGCTTTCATCCAGGATGAGTCACAAGGAGGAATGGGGGAGAAAAGTCTGTATTTACAGTCACAGTTTGGTAGTAAATGATGAAGGAAATATCTTTGGTAAGTAAAGGGAAGGTGAAAATAAGGAAATGGCTTTCCCCAGAAAATTCAGCACTGTAAGCACAGACTGAAGGTATCTGCAATGAAGAGATCTCTGTGGGGATTTATGATGATGCATTCTAAACTCAACCAGAGTAAAAGCTGAACCTCCATCCTGAATTCTCCGAGGCAGCTGCAACCATTTCTCTAAAACTCCCAGCCCGGAAGCAGGCATTACTTATCCTGGAACAAGGACTTGGGGGGTGGGAGGGGTGCACAGCAGCCCCAAGCCCAGGGCCTGCCCTCCACCACCTTCGGTCCAGCCACCTACACAGCCGCTTCGGACAGGTGGGACCTGTGGTCACGAAGCCTCCCTCTGGGGCCCTCCTCCGTTCCCCGGCCGTCCCTCCACACCGGGGAAAGAATAATTCTCACCAAGTATCATCAATTGCAGACAAGACAGTATTACCAACTTCCCAATCTAAACCAATCTAAGAGACAGAAAATAAAGCAATAATCAAATAAGAACCCAGTAAATACAGAATGTGGAATTAAAAGTTCAAAAAGGCGTCTCCCGCTCCTGTGAAGCTGACTGTTTAGCTGGGATGCAGAAGAGCAGGTGTGGGACAGTCAGGGATCGATGGCATTCCAGACCACCCGGCACAAGGTCAATGTCAACGCCTAACTCTGCCTCCCGCCCCGGATGTCGGTTCTTCATCAGCTGGGCCTGAAACCGGCGTTACTCGGGCACTATTCTCTCCCTCACCGGCCCCCTGCCTTCGAGGTCAGATAAGGAAAACATGCACACGGATACACACATGCACACATGTACACACATACACCCTGGGCTCCCTGTGAATCTTCATTCCTTCTCATTCCATGGCCAATACACTTGTTCATGGACTTTTCCAGCAATTTTCAAAAGGCCTTACAGGTTAATACCAGGCCTAAGAAATAGTCTCCCTCAAAAGAAAGGAATGGTCCCATACGCCACACGCTGCGTCCTGCATGATCTGCACGGAGGATGCGAGCGTGAGTCTCCTCGTGAAGTTCGACCAGGGCTGCAGGTGCACAGCCTCGCTGTGCCCCCAGCACCCGTGAGCCCCCAGACGCTCAAGCTGGCCGGCCCGCCACAAAGCCCCGACAGGCGTCTCGACCCGCGGTCTCCTCCCCAGTGACATAATCAAACATGCTGCTTCTGGTTAATTTTTCTAGGGAACTACTAGCGACTGTTAAAGCACAGAAACGTTCACGATGGAGGTGCAGGTGCGTCCCTAGCGTGCGTCTTAGCTCCAAACTACGCAGCTGGTTCCGTTCCACAAGTGCCCCTTCCAGAAGCAGAAATGGAGTCTGGATCCACAGACACCGCACGATCCGGCCACCACCTCGGTGCTGGTGATTTCATCCGGACGAGCTGAACTCAAGGTGACACGATGAGGGCCCCGCAGAAGGCCAGGGCACGGGAACCGGAGGGGCGCGTGCGCAGAGGCCAGGTGCCGTGCCGACATGGCGGGAGGAAGGGAAGGGAGGCGGGTGTGAGCTTGGCGCGTAGGTTGGCCCTGCACAGCATGTCTTCCCCAGCTAGCCCCTGTCAGATGTGGCAGCTCTAGACGGCACCCTGTCTGGCCCGGGAGTCCAGAGGTGCACAGAACTATGGGGGGGACCCGACTGGTAACGTGGCGTTCCTCTCAGATTCGGTGACTTCCACCTGGGGCAGGGGCACGCGCTCCGCAGGCGCCTTCTGCAGAACTAGGAAAGCCTCCCCCAAGGCCCGGACATGCTACGGCAATCACACCCCACTAGGGCGGAGGGGGCCCTTTCGGGGGCGTCGGTGTCACGTGGCCGAGCTGCGTCAGGGGAGAAAGAAGAGCCACAGATTTAGGCAAACACACACATCGGCTTACGTGACAAGTGATTCTTAGCCCTCAACGGCCCTCTGTGCCCAACCCCGTGATCCCTCCACTCCAGCCCCCGCGTCCTCCCTCTCCCAGCCGACGCCGCACCACCTGCCAGCAGCCGCCACGGCCACTTGCTCAGCACAAGGCCCCACCGAGGCAGCCCTCCCGCCCACAGCCGCCACGGTCCCTGTGAGCAAGCCGCGTGGCTCTTCTGGGACCTCAAGCAGGAGAATATAAGGATCCAGAGAAATCACAAGCAGTCATGCTAGAATTCACCTGCGACTCTCCTGAGGGCAGACAATTTGTGTTCAAAAATGGCAGCCATACCTAATCTGGACAGGTTCCTCCCAGCTGCAGCCATAGGTAAGACATGGGCGCTCAATCTTAGGAAAAGGCTGCGTGCACACACCTCCGTCTCCTGCAGCTTGGGCTGGGGGGCAGGAAGGTGGGGCTCACGTGCATCCATTCCTCTCTGAAGGGTCCCTTCCGCCCAACAGTTACTCCTCAAGCTCAATGCCGCCAACCTGCCTGTTCCAGGAGAGCGAGCAGCTGCTGAGAGCGACTGGGGGCATCGTGCTGGGCAGGCCACAGGCAGCTGGGGTCAAACGGAATACGTCCAACCAACACCCAGAGTCTTCCGTGAGCATGACACCACACCGCACGCTTTAGGAACCACAGCTGCTCGTTACGCCCTCCGTGTCCTGTGCCCAGGGTCTTCCAGCGGACAGTCTATTCCTAAAACATCGTCTTCAAGGTTTCACTCCACCCCATATCCTCAGCCCTCTCTGGGGTGCCACGCTAAGCAGGTGGTACCGTATCTGACGCGCCAGGTCAGGAGTGCTGGAGCAAAGCCCCCTCATCCCACACTGCGCTCCCTGGCCCCACGGGCTCAGTATCAACCAGTGATATCAATCAAAATTTGAATTCTGGTGGCCACGGGCACTGTCCACACCTGAAGCGCCTGCGTGACTGTGACCGCCATATTGGAGAGCGCAGACGGCAGACACTGACATCATTTTTCAGATGAAGAAAACAAGGTCTGAAGGTGATATCCTGTGTCAAGCACACTCAAATTTAAAACTAAATTTCTTTTAAGTGTGGCTGTATTGTCCTCACGCCTCCTCAGTTCCTCTGGGCAGATGCCCCTCGTTCCTGTGTGCTCACGCTGGCTGGTGTCATAGAAGCCAGACGTGGACTCAGCATGCCACGTTTGCCTGGAGGTCCTCACAGCCTCACTCCCTGGGGCTCACATAACAAGTTAATGTTGTGCCCTTGACATCTCAGGAAAACACCGCGCAATGCAATGGGCTGCCGGCGTGCGAGTCCGAGACAGATGCACTCTGCGGCGTGGTGAGAGCACAGATTTACACGGAGTTACTCAAGCAACTCTTCCTGGATAATCTAACTCTTAGCAAAGAGCTGCAGGTTTGTTCCCACAAGAAGCTGCGTCCCGCGGCTCTCGTGAAATGAGACAGACAGCCCTCCCGTTTCACGGGGCCAGGACTGAGGATTTCCCCATGTCTGACAGGCTGCTCCCCGCTGCGCTCCCCCGGGAGGTCTGAGAGGCTGGGCCTGGAGCTCCCGCCGGCTGGCCCCCAGCCCGGCAGCCGCCCGGGGTCCCGCACGCCGCTCATGCGCTCAGCTGCGTGCAGGGTGAGGATCACGGTGTAGCCAGCTCTGAAAAGTTGTGTCTGTGGGGGGCCCTGGAGCACCTGGCCTGGGGAGGCGAGCGCTGGACACACACCGTGCCTGTCAGCCGCGGCTCACACGAAATCAGGTCCAGGGCGGCCATGAGGATGACGTTCCACCCATGGAAGAGGCCGGGTCACACGCTCGCGGCGCAGGCTGTTGTTAGCACACAGTCCTCCGCAACACTCAAGCACAAGGACCCTGGAGCCCCAGACTCCAGCGTCAGGACTGTGCTCGGGGGCAAGCCACGCACCCCTCAGCGTCCTCGTCTGTGGCACGTCGGTGACACAGGGGTCCAAGGAGGCTTTCTGCATCACAAACCAGCCGACCAGGATCTTCTCACTCAGCAAAGGGGAACACACTCCGCATCAGCACCACGCAGGGGGCTGTAAAAACACAGAGCGCCCGGACAGCCGGCCGGTCGCCGGCCAAGCAGCTCCAGAGCCCCGAGGACACGCAGCGCCCGCGGCCGACAGTCCCGCGCTGAGCACCCAAACGTGCCGAGGGTAGACCTCCCGTTAAGGGCTCGTACCACAGCGGAGAGCAGACGGGGACACGCCGGGAGGTGCTGGATACGTTCATGACCTTGATTGTGGGGATGTGCACACACCCAAACCCCCCACACTGTCCGGTTAACTAGTGCAGTTTTTGTATGTCAGTTACACCTCGACAAAGCCGTGGGGAAGACTTCTGCTCCAAATGCTCAATAAAGTTCTCTGCACCTTTGACAACACAGGCACACGGACACGCAGAATCTGCATCTCTACAAGGCTCCTTGGCCAGGAGGAAACGTACCCGGCGGGCCACGTGCACACGGGTTATGGCTCAAGTAAGCACAGCTCACCCACCCCTTCGACACACGCAGCCAACCGCGATGACAGGTTGGCAGAGTGGCTGTGGCAGAAACT